TCAAAGTTCTACGGCAGGAGAAGGAGCTACACACAAACTCCTCTGCAATTGGAAGAATACAATTGAATAATAAAAAACAGAAAGTCAGAAGAAGAGAAAGAATGAACAAACTTATGAATAAGGATGTTAACTCTGACATAGGGACTGGGGTACCCAAGCACTTGAGGGAGTTATACAAAACAGCAGGTGATGGACGGACACAAAATCTCATGTACAAGCGCGTTAAGATACTTAGCAAGATGTGTTGCCATAGTAATCTGACCTGGAGGCTATAGTTTGCAACAGAGGGACACAGCTACCATACAGACCGGAAAGACCTCCGCCCGTGGAGGTCTGGCCTCGCATTTAGGCCATGCTTATATCAGACTGGAGAGACCTCTGCCCATGGAGGTCTGGCCTCGTATTTAGGCCATGCTGATATCAGTGAGGGTCCAGACTATGGAGAATCATAGACCAGAGCTTACTGGATGATGGCTCTTACCAGACTGTATTGGACCGTAGACCAGACTGTATAGGACCGTAGACCAGAATTTGGACTGAAAGAAGACTCGGGAACAAGTATAATAATTACCTATGTATAAATCATACTTTTGTGAGTTAGTAAGTATATTGTAAACCAATTGTAAAGTTAAGTTTGGTATAAGCACTTGTCAAGTCTGCTCACTATTGTGAAAACTTCTAGGATAGGAGTATAGATAAATTTTTGAAATAAGTTGTTCATTTATATCTACACTGATAGCTGAAGTATGTTCGAATGTTTTTAGAACCATTGGTTAAATGGTTAGTCCTTAAAATTGCATTATTCCAGTGTTTCAGTGAAATTAGTACTATAGTGACATGAACACTCGATATTATGTTGTAATTGGAAATATTCAGCAAAGGAAATATTCTTGCCTTTGAGTTACATTTGTATGTTGTGAAAAGTTACATAAAAACTCTATCAGTGACATTTAAAAATAAGAAATATCAAGTATAGAAATATTATGTGAAGGTTGTGGCAGTGACATTATACAAAATGTGAGAAATGTAGATGGTATTGGAACTGATGAGAAAGGAATAAGATAATTGTTATTTGTGAGAATGATATATGAGAATTGTCTGAGAGTTAGCTGTGAGAATTGTAAGCAGAAATTGCTATCAGATAATTACAAGTTGTAAATGTAGATTGTCAAATGTAATTAAAGGTACATAGTAGTATAATGAACTGATGTGCAACTTATGAAAAATTGTGGTTTTAATATTATTATTATTGTATGTTAAAAAAGTTCACTTTGTTATATTACAAGTTACAAGGAGATGTTATAAATTCATGTGGAAAAAAAATTAGAACTATCCTTGTAAATTGTTTTGCAAGAAGGAACTATTAAGTATTTATTGTAATCGGTTAGCCGGGTGTAATCGATAAGAGTATTACTGCAGGTATATTTATTGAAAGAGTATGGTAATTCAATTTAAATGAACATGATCATTGCCCTGATAATGACAAAGGAAGTAATTCATATTACTTCAAATATTCATATTTATTATTGTAAGTTGAAAATTTGTTGAATTTAAAGACTTAATATTTTTATCCAAGATTGACATATATTTAATTGTTTGAGATAATTTCAGAGTGGATAGAGATGAGAAAAGAAGCTAGTGAGTGTGCCATTTCTCATGTGAGTATGAGAGAGAACCTGCTTGGTTTGATTATTTTGTATTTTTGTAGGGACACTAAAAATGTAAGTAGGGGGAGATGTAAAAATGTGGTATTTTACTGGATTGTTTGTCATGAAGTATGATATCTCCCTGTTCAATAATAGTCACTGACTGTAGTGTCACTAGTACAGTGTGACAGTAGTTTAAATGTTGTAAATATCTTGGAGTTGTCAAACACATGTTTTTAAACACAATGTCCATTCAAACGGTATTTACTCTTATTTAGGTGTTTTCCAGTGTTCAGTATGGTTATTATTCAGATGTAAATACCTTGATTATCTTGGTTTATCGTTAGTCCAGGGTAAGAACCGTCTGGAGAGAGTGAGAAATGTAATGTTTTTGCAGAGAACGTATACCCTGCTAGTGTGTATGGACGTCGCCATTTTGTGAACTCTCGTGACCTCTTGAACTGTGTCAGTCGGGGTCACTTGAGTGTTTATTCCGTTGTGTATTGAAAGTATTGGATATATGGGATTCGATGGAAATATGGGATGCGTTGGAAGTATTGGATTGCGAGTCAGAGAGTGATTAACGGTACGAAAGAGTTGTAGATGTGGATACTATGAAATACTTTATATTAATGTTGATTTGTGAAGTATTTTTCATACAAGTGCTAATTTAGATCGTCGTATTTTATTTGGGTTCAACGGGTACTACGTTGCGAGCAACGGGTGTGGCGCCGTTACGTCTTCGGAGTCCGCTGGGGAACGGGTGTGGCGCCGTTACCTCTTCAGAGTCCGCTGGGGAATGGGTGTTGCCCCGTTGAGCTCGTGCGTTGCCCCGTTGATGTTAGCGTTCTTACCAGGGGCGCAGAGATTCCTTGGGGCGTTGGGAAATCAGTTGCGATCGGATATTCTTAGGGGAAGGCTGGTTTTAAGCTGCTGGCGGCTACTACACTTTTGGATCGTTCCAAAACCGTGGAGCTGTCAGTAACGTTATGCTTGGTTTGTAGGATAAGGGAAGCAACTCGTAGAATAGAATATGGGCATGGACGGGAGATTTTAGTAATATTAACATGTATGGAAGATAATTTAACTTTGTCTTTCTAGCGTACTTTTGGTGGTACTTTTGGTGTTTCAGACAATAGAGTTTGACTTTAGAATCATTGATTCATAGAGCCTAGTGATCAGAATAATTCTAGATCTATATTTTATCCATTTGCTAATCCTATATTAATTCATATAGAGTTGGGATTTTATAGTATTCATTCATTGGCACTTGGTTCATTTCTGTTATTAGCTAACCTACAGTAGGGATAAATAGACTTGTTTTGTCCCCTACATATATCAGAAAGTTCTGGTATCCAGGGTTCAGACATAGTTCGACCTTTATTGTACATCATATTTATGAGAGAATTTGGAGAGAGTCTTTAGAATTGTTTTATCTGTATCTGTGTAATTTGATATTGGGTTCCTTAATAAACGGTAACCGTAAAGGTGTGCGTAAACTTATCTTATGATTTCTGGTTCTTCTTTAGTTACTTAGAACTAGTCAGTCATTAGGTACTTGGTTTGGAAATACCATATAATTTCCTGGGGGCTTGCCATAAGCATTTAGTAACAGTTTAGAATAGTCGTGCTCTCCATGTAAAGGGTTGAGCCAGGGGCGAAGACCGTTACAATACTACAGATTCTTTACCCGATCCTGCGTGTACGCTGGAAGCGATATGTTGACGCATATGAATGTGACTTTCGACCTTGTCAGACGACCATCTCTCGGTATTCCATATTATTGTGTACCTATAATATTAAATCTGGTTAATGGTATGTCTTTACACAAATGCTTTCCTTCAAACACGAAATGCCATCGGACCCTTTACATTGACCAATAACCATTTGTCTAATCAGGTGCAAAAATAATTTCTCCATACTATGGTGCAACTATAAAAATATGTGTAGGTTTCATAACGTGTTCACAAACCTTTGAGAACGGACACACTACCAAAGCCATCATTACATACCCCCTCACCGAAGTGGGGATATAAAATTGAGTTTGCGGGACTACGTTTGGACATCAATCATACGTGATGTTAAGAGCATGTGTTTCGTTAGTATGTTTCCATGACAGCATATTTGGATAACGGGTGTTCACTTTTATGAATAAATAATTTTACGTTAGTCCCTGCAGGTTCGAGTAAAGAATTGACCTGCAAGTTCTAACAGGCGACCAGTGTTGAGTCCTTACAGTTTTTGTTTATTTGTTTTGGGTTTAACGTCCTCGCAATAACAAGGGTTATATGAGAACGGGTACCTAGGAAGACACCGCATGAAACAGAAAGTAGATAGAAAAGAAAGAAGACAGGAAAGGAAAAAGATCGCAAGTGATACAGTGGGGGCAGCAGATCAATGTTGTTATCTTCCATGTAGTCACTTTTTACGAAGCGCACGCAGCGGGATAAACCAGGTCTATTCCTGATTTTGTAATGTCCTCTTAATAGAAGACAGGGCAGAAACCACACAAGATTCTGCAGGGGGCCACATTAGCCGCCTTTTACGTGGGTTTTCATCTGTGTCTTCTGTTAAGGGGAGAGGGGGCATTGAAGAAATAAAAATTGATCTGCTTCTTCTATCACCACACTTTTCTCTCTTCTCTACCCTTTTCTTTCAGCGATGTATCCTTGGGCTGTGGTGAGGACATCTCCAAACAAACAAACAAACAACAATCCATAAAAATTTTGTCGCCGGGGAGTAAATCTCTATAGCTCTTTAACACATGGGCAATTTCGTTTGTTTGTGTGTGGTTTAACGTCCGTGCAACAGACAGGGTCATATGAGGACGAGAAAGAATATAAAAAGAGAAATATCTCAAGTGTTGCAATAAGGAAAGCAGATCAATTTTGGTGTTTTCAATGTAGTCTTCATAGAAGACATAGAAGAAATCCTGCGAGTCTGCAGGGCCCCTAATGTAGTCGCATTATAAGATCATGTAGTGACATACAGCAGACATATTCTTTTCCCGAACCTGCCCGGGTTATATATCGAAGTGTCATAAGTTATAAATGTATTTAAATTTCATATAATCTTGAGTAAGGTTTCGTTCCATATAACTGAACATTTTGTAAAACCGCTCGGAAATACAGCAATGGAGTGATGGCGCCCACACATGAAAATTAATGCACTATGATAAATCTCCTGAGTTATGCTAAATAAAACTTGCTTACAATGTTTCAATCACCTAAATGATGTGCATGTGTAGTGAATTCTCATTTCAAGTAATTAATATGTGTTGTATTGACATTGTCGGTAACCAACGATAGGAAGAATTAGTTATGTTGCACAAGAGCTATACATGAACAAATATACCTGAATGAGTCGGAGTGGTAGTAGTCATCAGACACAGAAACAGACAAATTGATGTAAGCCTCTGTAACCTCCAGCATAGCCTCCAGTTTTTGTCGTAGGTTGATAAAGGCAGGTCGGCCTTGTGGTTTTGGATGCCAGCATGATAGCATCAGTTGATATCTGTAAATTAATTCAAGCAACATGTTAAGCTTACCTTAAATCTTCTCCCTTTAACACTTTATTAATTTGCAAAATGTTCTTATTTGGTATTTGACGAGGAAAGGTTATTAGTTTATCAACCCACGGATTGTGTCTATACATGTTTGTCGAGAATAGTCATTGAGTGATAATCAATTTTCAATAACAGAAGCAAAAATGCATCTGGCCTTCAAAACGATAACAAACAAGTACATTGTCCCCAAATTAATCGTTATACCATTAGCATTTAGAACGTTATAGATTCAAATAACACCATTTTGGATTATCTTGCATCTACAATGCTGGGTTAAACTTTTCTCCTTTTGTCAATAAAGAGCGACCAACAAAAACAGGATTTGGAAACTATACTTTATTATCAATAAAAGTAATACATTTTATTTGGGGTGGTAATGATGACCTCGCATGTATCGCTTGAAGAAATACTTTGCTTATTCAACGCTCTAGATGTCGGCACGATCCAGGAATATCTTTTAGATGTTTATAGTAGATTTATTAGTTAAAGTGAAAATTAAATGTTAGTGCTGTAAAAGGATCACAGCAAAATGTAATCGGTAAGGATTAATATTGCAACCAGTTCATTTACCAGTAATGTAAAATTGAACCTTAGGAAAATCCTGGAATTTGAGAGCATTGGTTTATTTTAGCAATGTTCAGTCAATATTAAAATTAAGAGGGACTATTCTATGTAAAATGAAAATAAATTGAAACATGGAGGGGTCAATTTCAATGTGAAAGAATCAATGGCCCCATGTCCCCCTCAAGGATTATCCATGGAACCTGTCTCAACTATTGACATCTTCTATATAGGTATGATGTATTGCTACTCAAGATTTACTCACAATACTAGTTCATAGAGATACTAAATAATAATATGACTAGCAGAAGAACTCCATACTTTGATTTGGAGGAAATTAACTGAAAATACGAGCTGATTTCCTAATGTCTTATTGCATATACTTGGAATGACTTTTCCATGTATGTACCTTTAACTTAACGGACAGCATACACCTAAAACATCGTTTTCAAGTCTTCATTCATGAAGATTGATTAATCATAGACCAAACTACTTACATGTCAGCACTGCAGTTTCCTGGGTTTTCCATCCTATACCCATCCTTTAACAACCGAAACAAATCCTTATTTGGAATGCCTGGATATGGGCTTCCTCCGAAGGTTACTATCTCCCAAAGAACAATTCCAAACGACCACCTTGAATTAGAAGATACAGAATCAATAGAGTACATAATAAAGTTACTGATTCCATTTCTTAGGTAATGATTACAAATACGTGTTCTCGTTTCATATTGTGATTTCTGTGAAATGAATATGTGACTAATAAACATTTAATTGATCTTTATAATAATATATGATATATTTTACATCCATTTTCGTCGCTATTGATGTATTTTTATATCCTTTACATATTATATTCTATTTTTATAAAGGTTAATTATACATTTCTTGTGAATGTCTAGGTTTTACAGTGTTTTTGGCCATTTATGACTCATAATGTCAATTGAACGTGCAGAAAAAACCAACACGAAACAAATTTGTCTTCAATGACCAACGAACCTTATAAAATATATTCAAACATGTATCCTTTTCATAAGTGATTATGTAATGAGACGATGTCTTCCCCTCCCCCTTTTAAACCCAGTGAGCTTAACTAATAATTCGTGACGATTTCAACACATTTCATAGGAAAAGGAAAGATAATTAAATATCATTTTCATCACAAACGGGTTTGGTTTGGTTTAGTATTTTTTAACGTCCTTTCAACATCTATGGTCATTTAAGAACGGCCTCCCCTGTGTGCAGAACCCAAAGCCTTCTTGACAGTGGCGAACGCTCAACTAAAGGTCAAAAGTGAGCATTGTCAAGGGAGACATTAGGAAAAGGAAAGTTGATTAGAACGAGAAAAGATAAGATCCTAAATTCGATTGCCTCTTACGATCATGCGATGGGGCAGCAGGTACAATTCTTACGCCCTACCTGCAAGGATCTCATAAACGTGAAAACACGCTTTCGCAGGAAATTCATAACAATAAATCGAGGTTCCTATATCGCTTTATCACAACTTAGTTCGTAGGTCGTCTCAAAGCGGTTTACAATTATTCATAGCATCTAAAATTCCGCAATCTTCGTTCTATATTTTGTTCATTGAGACGTCATAATTTATCATGAAGTATGACGTAATTATATTTAATACCGGGGAATTTTTGCCTTTTTTTTTTTTTTTTTTTTAACAATATCATGTTATAATTTAAGTAATATATCATAATGTACTAGAAATACAATATCATGTTATAAGTTAGGTTACATGCATATACAGTATCATAATGCACTAGAAATACAATATCATGTTATTACTCAAGTTATATATCATAATGTACTAGAAATACAATATCATGTTATAATTTAAGTTACATATATACATCATAATGTACTAGAAATACAACATCATGTCATAATATAAGTAATATATCATAATGTTCTAGAAATACAATATCATGTTATAATTCAAGCAAAATATCATAATGTACCAGAAATACAATACCAAATTCCGAACACATGTAGACACCGCCATGATTGTACAGTATTAGGATAAAAACAAAGGTAAACACGTGACCTTTTAGTTTCCGGATTGAATCTTTTATTTTGATTATTTACTTTTATTAACTTCCTTTTCGTTTTAAATGTGAATCAATACACTATATATAATATGCTTAAATTATGGTGATAAATGGTTGATAAAAAAATAAAAAANCGCAATCTGCGCTCTATATTTCGTTCATTGAGACGTCATAATTTATCATGAAGTATGACGTAATTATACTTTATAGCGGGGAAGTTTTGCCATCTATTATTACAATTTGTAGGGCAAGTTGATCTAGACAGCGAATATTATAACTTAACATTCAACATGAAGCAGTAAACGCCTTGCATTATATCTGGAATATTTCATACATCACACAAGCTTAATATCATATTTGTAGGCGATCAAGTACGAAACTAGAAAAATTCAATTTGAAGTCATCGGAACAATAGCACCATATCACCCATTTGGGTCCGTATATACTCCTACTAGAATCGTATAAGTGCTGACTTTAAAAAAGACCTACAAATAATACCAGATAGCCCCTTACACGTCAGATTTCGTTGTGAAGATCTGGTCGTAAATTGCTTCTATGGCCATCCACTTATAAGGAAGTTTTCTCGCTGATGTCGGCTGATATATATTCGTTTCGTACACATCACGTGTGAGGCCGAAATCGGAAAGTTTTAGACAATCAAAATCAGACATAAGTATGTTTCTGGCAGCAAGATCTCGATGGACGTATTTCTTCTCTGCCAGGTACTCCTGAGGAAAACCAAAAAAAAAAAATACCCACAAGCATCAAAACAAACCAGCTGAATTTAAGATGTTTGGGTGCTTTTAAACATTTTGTTTTCTTCATTTTATATTGATATTAAGTATTGTAAAGATATGTGAAGTTAAAATCTACCATGTTTCTAATAAAACAACTTATAGATAGCAATTAGTAGAATTGAAGTAATTTGTACGATGGGCACCGTTGTCTAGACAAGCATTATTTTTCATTTCAGAATACTTTTCCGTACAGATTTAAGAATCAACCGGAATTGGGAAACTGGAATAGCCTATACAAACCCTCCACTTTCAAAATTTAACAGTTCACACTCATCATATTTTTGTCAATGCGATCGTTACACGAGGAATGTCATACTATCAGTGTGATCATCTGACACTGAGTGGTGGTTGTAACATTCTAATATATATTATTAGGACCTTTCCAGTCCGCTGATATCACCAATGTTACTTTGAAACAACGCCACAATGTTTCTTTTTATATAACCGTCTCTCGTGTTTGGAAACCATATAGGAAAGTTTGAACATTAATAATTTAGACCGATATATACGGAATGCTGTATCACATATAGGAAGTATATACTCACCATGCCGATGGCGATCTGTCGCGCGTATGACAATAACCTGGTCTGTGTTATAGGCTGGGTGTCAGATTCTGCTGGATATAACAATAATTATAACATTGTATACGCCGTTTGCTCTGTTATTCATACTGAAACACCTTATCTTTATATATATTGTTTGCCAAAATGCTGAATGAAAAGGGGAAGGCAATAAGATGTGTTCACTTGCTGTGACATACCGAAACTGCTCAGAACTAGTTAACCCGTTGTCAGTATAATATGACCAGGCGGCCATCTTCGGCATGGCATTTCAATAAGGTAGCACTATAAAGCCGGCACCAGATCCGCGCTACCACGGGTAATAACACCAACATACCCTGCCTCCAGCACACATATACACACATGGAGGCACGTCCTTAAAAGACTTTGGCTTTTGATGGGATACAAATTAACCAACATACCGCCTTCTTTGTTGTCACTCTTTCTCCAAAAGCACTGAACGGATCTTTCAAATTTCTTTTGTCCCTAGTTGCGCATGCTGTATTTTGGGACTGATCGGAAACACTAAATGGCCGCCTGGCATCCATATTTGATTTTAAAAGTTGTTATCACTATTTCTGCATGTGGTACACAACGAACAATGAGCTCACTATGAAAGGACATTCTCAAACCCAGTGGTATGAACATTTAAATGAAAAGATTCAAAGTGAAATATATTTACTGTTGACAAGATCATCAACCCAACTGATATGGGAAAAGATAAAGATCAAACCCTCATAGAACTAATAGAGATCTTAAGATGATTTGCGCCAATATCCCTCTTGGATATGTTGTTTATAACATTCCAAAATAGTGCTTAAAATCAAAAGACAGCAACTCTTAATAATTAAAACGCGATTTATATATAGGTGAATGCAATCATGTTTTATTGAACAAAATTATGTCACTAATATATTATCTAATATGTAGCTTTAATATGCCTGTGCACTGAAAATAATAAACCGCCTTTATCCCGTTACCATAACAACAACGACGTTTTCGCAACTGATACCTGTATCTATGTTTTGCAATTTTAAAAATATCAGCTTTATACATACATGTATAACACACATAAAAGACGAAGCGAACATTAACGCTAGTTGTAAAATATAGGCTAAATACCTATAACACTTATAAAAGACGAAGTGGTATTTCAACTAACAAAACAATCTTCACTGATATTTGATGAAAAACACATATCTAAATATACATACGAAAGAGGCTAATCAGAATCCAGTATCAGCAATTTTTATGTTTTCCGTGATATGTATTTTGCTGTATCAGGAAACCCAGATATATTCTTCGTATCTGTATCGATACCCGGTCAAAAGTGTTCACTTTTTGTCTTACTCTCTCTCTCTTTAATTTGATTCACATTATATATAGTTTACATTAACTTTCCATGCATCAATAAATTCGTTACCCGTACTGTCAGCCCCCCCCCCNNCCCCCCCCCCCCCCCCCCTCCCGTTGTTACCTCCTTTGGTGCATGTCTTCATAAGACTGGCTGGTTCGAGGGAGGACAATTTGGGAAATATGTTGTATCGTTGAACAAGATACTTTACCCCGCTTGATCTAGTCTACTCAGCTGTAAATGAGTACGTGGAAGGGCAGTGCTAGAATTGTTGAATGCTAGCTTTGAGCGCCGAAATTGCAGCATCGGCTGTATGCTCCCCATGGAGATGAGAAAGATATTAGCTGGTTGCAAAGGCCGTATAACCACGGATAGTAATTTGTGAACCGCTTTGAGACGACCTACGAACTACATATAGGTTGTGATAAAGTGATATATAAGAACCTCGAGTTATTATTATTAATATTAATACTACATGCAAATACATATAAGCTCGCAATTCACCCATTATTGTGGATTGTCCCACACAATTTGCCTCCCACAGCATACAGTTGGTAGCCTCATGTATATATTTTTCTCGATCCCCGACTTGCATGGACGTGTTATTGTACGATTAACCAGGTAAGTAGTGCAACATTGCACGCATCAAAGCCTATAGATGTCATTAAGGTTTCAATAAAGTCAACCGTCTTAAAGTACAGCCATTAACAACCAGATTCTTTCATATTTAAGATATGATTTTCTACACATTATGTGAACACCTGCTATTGATAAAACAGGATTTTGCTATTTGTATGAGAGAAAAAACCCAGAAAGTGAAAGGCTTTTAAACTTTTAACAAACGACATCTCTAACGTTCCCTGTATGTATGCTTAAAACATATCAAAACATATTTTTATGAAACTTCAAATAAAGCAATATCTTCATGAATAATTCAAGATAGTTTAAAGTGCGTTTCTAAGCTGATCGACACGTGGTGATAGAAAAAAAGTCCCGAACATGTAATGTTAAAAAAGATCGACATGAATTTGATCACACAGTACGATAGTTGAAAAATATATATCAAACTAGAGAAGGAAAAACTCACTCTTCCACACAGTCTCTCTTCCCCCCTGAAATTTCATAATGAACTATTCCAACCTTTGAATTGGAAGAGTTCAAATATGGCTTCAGGAGTGAATGAGTTAATAATCGAACAATTCTACTTGAAACAAAAGCGTTCATTTCTGTGACAGGTCTTACTGAGCATATAATTCAAAATTTGAGAAAAAATGTCGGAAGGAAATATAAAAAATTGAGGTGGTGGCAGTTTTAGAGGAAGAAAGTCATATTATTTCTCGGCACTTCCATGTTGTTATCGAACTAACTCGGTAAAATCAACATTAGAGAATAGGCAGAAATGATGAAAGGAAGAACAGAAAAAGGGAGGGAAATACGATTAGCCAAGATTTAAGAGTCACTACATTTCATAATTGTTATGCGGTCTGTGGTTATTGTTTAAGATTTCCCATACAAATTATGAATAATATTAATGAATCAGGTAAGATTTTTTTAATTCACTGAAAATATTGCAATTAAGTTTCATAAATCAAGCAGTATAATTAAAAACATGCGATAGGAGTTTGTTAAAAAAAAACAGGTGTAATGGTCTCAGTTATATGATCATCAATGGAGTTAGCTCCCCTTTACCACTGCCTTGCACATTGAAATCTATTGACATCTATTTTATACCCTAATTTGCACAAGTTTCTCAGGGCCAAATAGGGGAAATATAGATAAATCTTAAAATCTTATTTTTTTTTATATGAAAGGAGCAATATTAAACAAATTTTGACTGGAGTATCTTTGAGCAAAGATAACTAAATTGTGTATGAACGGTGCTAGGATATTGTCCCCTATGGGATAGAGGGGTTTGGCGCCATAGCAAAAAAAAACTTTTAAACTTTAAAATCCACCTCCTTCCATATGAATGAAGGGATGGTAACCACACCAGGAGCATCCATGGGAAACTCACGCACTGTTCCAGTGTAAATATAGGTTAAACAACGTCACGTCACGTCATCAAACCGAGAACGCTGAGTAACAACAAAACCACAAGGCATTACATGAGCATAATTAAAAACATAATTAAATTGATTTTACTTATGTCAAACATGTCTTCTGGGTCAGGTTATTTAAGTGATTGAAATATGGATCGTGTATATTGCTTTAAATTTATACCATTTGTATTCTCCGTCATATCCGAAAACATGCCACTGTCTTCGTGTTTTAGCTTGGGACTGCTCTCATACTGTGTCTGCAACAAAACATTGTGACAATCGTTTAAGAATTAAAAGAAACTAGATTTTTGTTATGCGTGCAAAACAGAATAATCAGAACTACTAAACCCGTTCAGGATCGAGGAAATATTAGGCAGGCTGTATACTTTTGTATATTGTAAAATGGTAATAAAGCAACGCCCCGTGCAGAAGCAGGGACAAAATTATGGCAATTTGAATTGTCTAAACTACTCTAGAAACTGAAGGGGAGATGCGTGAAACCTCTTAATTTATGAGATTCAAAATTTGAAGTTATAATGTAATTACATCAGTATTATACTTAACAAACAGATGACTTCAAATATTTTCTCTCCGTGATACGTTTCTTACTTTAAACTGGGAGATCAAAATTAGGAATTAATAAACTCACCTGCGGTCTTATCCGGTGTAAGTACTGCCTCAGGTCACCTAGTGGACAGTAATCCATTATCAGACAAATAAGGTTATCGTTCTTTGTGCAGCATCCAATAATACTGACAATGTTCGGATGATGCCCCAGCTGTTTCATTGCCTCAATCTCCTTAAAAAGGCTCCGTCTTTCCACAACGTCAGGGTGATCTATTAAAATAGATTAGTATCATCTGATTTATCAAACAAAACATCAGCCAGTTATTTTTATTTCAGTTTCTTAGTTTAAAATGATAAAGAGCTGGCCGGCTGCGCAACAAATTGCCATATACATGAGCAATGCGCTTGATTAACAAGTTTAATTTTATATTATGCCAGGAAAAGTACCAAAAGATAATAAAATGTCGCAATGAGCGTTATATTATACGAATATATCTTTACATCAGGAGTTTTATAAGTAATATTGAAACGCTTTTATATATATGTTTATAACGTGATACAAATGGAAAAAAAAAATGAGAATAAACAAAAATGAAATGTTCATTTGTGTCAATATAAACATAACTTAGGTGTTTTCTTTGAAATGTTAAATACATATACAACAGTATTTTCATAGGAACCTTTCAACATCTTCACAGCCACAATCCCTTTTTTGGCGTTCTTTCCTGGAATCAATAACTCCGCTTTGACAACCTTGCCAAATGCACCTTCACCCAAAGTGTTTAAAAGCAACAACCTTGAAAACTCGACCTCGTATTCGTCCAGAATGATAGGACCATCACACCCAGTGCTGGCACAAGCATTATCATAAAGAGGATTTGTCTCCTGTAATAGAATTTCATACCTATTGTAGAAACCAATGTGTTCAAAGGTTTTCATACACCGAGGCATAAAAATGGAAAATATTTCTGTTTTTATTTTTGGTCTCAAACTTACAATGAAGGAACTACTGAAATATTCATAAATTTTGCATTTATATTTTTGAACTGATTCAATGAAAGTGAACTATACGTAAATGTAGAAGAATATATCCGAACATTTGAAGACATTATGTACCTAACCTAGAAATACGTCATATTTCTTTTTATAATGATTAGTTAGGATTGTCTTCCTGTTAAAATGAAAGTGTTGCTAATGTAACTTTTAAGCTGTTTAACAATTTTTTCATTAAAAAAGAGAAAGAAAGTTGATTTCCCTACCTCCATTCTGTTGATCCATTTTACCTGAAACGCACGCCTTTTTCGATTGGTATGACGGAAAAGGAGAATTGCAGCTGACATGATTAGTATAGAAACAGCAACTGCAGAACAAATGTAAACTTTGTTTTCTGAAAAAAAAACACCTTTTGAAGTTACTAGAGATAAACATTGGATATGACGTATCAACTATGAAATGTTTGTTACAATTATTTTTTTGATATTAAGATATGATACATTTCAAAACAATTCAACATTAATCTGAAGAACTTAAGTCATCACCAGAAAGCTTTATAATATTAATTTTCACTATTTGTTGTCATACTCCATGGAAGCGGGCATTAGTTAAATGCCAATTAATGATCCCGTTAAACCAAGTGATAAGACACATCGATGTATCGCATACATACCGGACATGCCTAGAATCGTAGCTGAAGTGTTATTCTTAGGCTCGTCACGGTAACCTACAACACCTAGCGTAAAAAAGACAACATGGGTAGCTTGTTTGGAGAAACTTCAGTTAATAAACCATCTGTGACATTTAATGAGGTTCTGTAAGATTTATACTGATACATTAAGTATCTTATTCGTTTTTCATTGCTTGGAGCAACCTAACACAGTAACGTGAGAAATCCCACAACGAAACATAAGTATGACCCCTAACTAGCCAGTCCTAGCTGCCACCTGTTCGCGCCAAAATAAAAGCACCAGTTAATCGTTTCCGTCTTTCCTGACAAACTTTTTGACTCCTGGCCATTTTGAAATACGTAGAAATGCAAAAGTAGATACAACCTACAACCGAAAGATATCAAACTGACATATTCTGATTTTAAAGCTTCCATAGCGAGTTTTTTCAAAAGGAATTGGCAATATCAATGTTCTGAAGATATAAATAATAAGTTATTTGCAATCATATCACGTCTTCGATGTAACGACAATTTTCATGGGTTAATAGCGGTGTATTATTAGACAAGAGACAATGCGCGTTCATTTATTATTTTCCAACAGACCAACCATAAACCTCCCCCGTAACTGGAAACTAGAGAATAGCGGGACTGGTTCCCTTTGTCGAATGATGATCAAGACATTTGAATTTGTAAATATTTGAAGATTCGCTTGCGGACCTCTAGATCTATATATAAACTGTCAACCTCACGGGCAGATATTCCGCTCAACTTACTCCGAAGGTGACTTTAAATAATGTTTGTAAATCTGTCAAGTGCTGATTTCGATACATTGAAGGATTTGATTGACTAAAATTAACACCTGGTATAGGGCATGACGTCAGTATTTATCGTCTGTTGACCAAATGACAACTGAATATTAAGAAAAAGCTTTCCCAAATATATCCAAGGTAAATAGGTATAATAGAACAACAGCTCACAGGGTCAGAAATGATAAAAATGCGCAGCTTGTTGTGGAATTCAGACATATAGGCATCCCGTGACCAAATTGCAAGAAGCCAGATACACACACATGCATTATATGGAGGAACGTTTTTAATTTACCAAAGCTATCAATAGGACGAAAAATATAAAACCAAACATTTTTCACTTACCAATATCAACAACTGTAGTGATGGGGTCGCTCGTTCCACCCACAGATGTAGCGCGGAGCTGGATACGATATTCACTGTTCCAGTGCATTTCCGGTATCACATGACTGGACTGATTCTGCGGATAGAGACTCGATTACTGTATCAAGTTAAACATCATTCTCAAAACGTTTAAGATCGAAAATGAGATATAATGATAAATGTACTGTAATATATCGAGAATTGTAGTAGAGGTGGTATTCTTAATATCGTCACTGTAGCATACAACACCTAGCGTTATAAATAGAACATTTGGGGAGTCTTTTCTCTCCTTCATTCTCTTCCTTTTCGGTGGGGTTTTTCTTGTGAATCCATCTGCATATGACCTTGACGGTTGCATGGGCTAACAGATTATTTGAAGACGGGAGCATTTGGTCGAATATTAAGAATATTAAATCCTCTGTGTCACAGGACAATCGGAACTAAATGTCAACGCTAAACTTGTAAATCAAAAACTAAAGGCGATAATCGTATGCTTCGGACGGACGGGTTGTCTTTCACTCATTTACCCCTAAATATACATTTGAACTCTTCCAATTTAAAGGCTTGAATAGTCCATTATAAAATTTCAGGGGTGATTGAGTTCATTTTTGGATATGGATTTACAACTTCACACAAAATCACATTCAACGAACAACAACATTTATATGAGATATACCGGAAACAGTGTAAGGCTTCCCTTATCGGGATCTTCAAGTGGTCCCATATGTAGCGGGACTTTTTTCGACCACTCAAGAATGTAGCCTGTCAGTTTGTTGTTCGGTCCGACATGAGGTGGGGTTTCCCAGACAAACGTTGTATTTCCTCTCAACATTCCGTCAGTCATATAAAATTTTGTGACGGTCGCGGAAATGTTTCGTGGTTCCTCCGGATCTGCAACAGAAAACTAATTCATACAATAATCGTAAGATATTGTGATTTATTTCTGATAAATTTTAAATTCCAATAGATGCTATCAAGTCCTACTTGACAACAATATATCAAATGGTTAAGGAGCAGTTGTGCCAAGACGCTGAAAGCACAAAAGAGGTAGCGCTAAAGAAAGGACTTGCAATAATTCTCCATAAAGCACGGTAGCTTTTTCAAACGAAAGGACTACTAAGGGCAACATAGTCCCCTAAAAAACCTGAGCAACAGTCCTTTTCTCTTATCAGTTTGATTTGGTCATGTAAATAGGTAATGCACGTTATGGTTACATTTGATCAAACATCATACTAATGTATATGAGAGTATTCTTTCAGATTGAGGTTGTTGTTTGACCTATTTACTAGCACGTTACCCGTAACAAGGGTAACCTAGATTTGAAAGTAGAAATAGGGAAATAGTAAAAATTTGAAATGTTCAAATCCAATATGGCTGCCTAGCGACCGTTTTGTTTTTCGGATCATCCTCAAATTTAAACATGCACAACTGAGGACCTGAGATAAGCAAGAAATGAAATTTGATAAAATCTGTGTAGATCTGTTGAAAAATAGTAAATATTGTATAAATTCGAGACAACCGTCTGCTGGCCTTTCTTGGGTTTTTTTAATCAGTCTCAAAAAACACCAGGCATACTATGTGAAATTTCAGAAAGATCACCCAAGTACCTCCTGAAAGAGAATGCTAACAAGCTCCATTTTCTGAAAAATAAATGATTGTCACTTGTCAGCCATTTTTTTCCCTTTCCGATATTCTATTTTTTGGTTCAATAGAGGTAACTAGCGATAACTAAAACTTTTAAGTGAAATTAAGAGAGATCCATCGAAATTTTCTTAGAAATGTCGCTAACAAATTAACCGTTATATTTCAAGATGGCCGCCTGTCAGACCTATTAGGTTTTCGACAAGACCAAATTCAATATTTTTTACAAAGACTTATCCAGAGTTTAACAAGAAATAACGCAAACAAGTTTTAACTCAACAATTAAGCTTTTCGATTAACCGAGACTTTGATATGCGAAACTAAGTGTCATGGGTAACCTTCTCGTGCATTTTAAGAAATATCACTCAAGTAATTCTGAGAAATAACTCGCAAAATTAAAGTTGGCCACCTCTCGGCTATTATTTTGACCCGGTCAGACCAGAAATCGACGTGCGTAACTACCGACTATGGGAAACATTGACGTGAAATCTGAGAAAGAACCCTCCAGAACTTTCTGAAATATAGCGCGAACAACAGATATTCAAGGACGGATGGTTTACGGATTATACTGAGCTTTGGCATACAGCAGGTCTCCCCACCCCCCTGAACATGCAAAGTCAACTCGCCAATGGCAGTTATTAATATGTTAGTGGTGCTGCGAACGATCTATTTGTATGAGTATCGTAAAAGGCGACTAATGTTGTGCCCCTGCAGAATCGGGTTTTTCTACAAAGGGGACATTGTAGTGACCAAAATTGATCAACAATTTCGATCTTTTTCGTTTCCTTGTTTCAGGCAGTGTCTTCGATTCCTAGACACTCGTCCTCATATGACCCAGACTGTTGCGAAAAAGTTAAACAAATAATCGTAATATGCGACTAATGTGGGGCCCCTACTAAAACGGGGGATTTCTGAGCCTAATAAGAATATAGCACGAACAAGACCAAAACTGATAGCTGGTCCCTTTGCAACAATTTAGATATTTTTCGTTTCCTTCCTTTCCTGTTTACTTTTTTTCTCCAGTGGTGTATCTAGTCACCCCCTCCTTATATTTCCCTAGCTGTGGCGAGGACAGTAAACCCCAAACATACAAACGTCTTTTAGACACTTTTTGTTATCCAATGTATTCAGGTCTATTCAATTTGCAGACTCGAAGCCAATTATTTTGTTCAGATTTGAATCAACGTGACATAACCCCTTTGTAACAATTTCGACTAAAGCTAAACAAATCCACTAGGAGCTCATTAGCTCTAGCTTGGTGTTCTCCGCGGTACAATATAAACCCCAAAACGAAACAATTATACATTATCAGAATTATCAGAATTGCCTTTCCGTATTACTGTCTCTAAAATGAGTTTAAAATTCATTTTTATACTTTTTTTTTTACTTCTGTTGGACATATCCTTTAAATATTACAATTTACAAGAAGATGACGGCTGAATATTGTATTCCCTAACCCCATGCAAGCTTACATTAATCAGAACAAGAAAGCAGAGAGCAATTAATGTTGACGCCACAATTACATCCCAGTTAGTTGCGTTAAATAATATGAAAGGAGGGTACACGGTATAGTGCGGCGTAATGGAAAACGTTCTTTGGAACTATCAGTTCATGTTTAGAAGAATTACCGATGCAATATTTTGAAAATCAGAGCTCCAGGTTTGATCTTCTAAACACAATGGTATTTTCCCATTCTCAAATTCCCTATCACATTATTCTTTGCATGGACAGGTTGTTAAACATTTCCGTACAATGACGAAGCTATTACAGACTTATTACTGAAAAATGTTATCCATCATGGAAAGTTGCTGAAGTGGGTACTTCTCCTTTATAGAGAGCAAATTCAAGGAGGCTTACTGCATACTGTGTAGTTGAACATTGTAGCGTTGAGGCATCCGAGTGTTAGAAACGTTATCTTGGTCACGTTGCTTCCTCTCGTAAACAATGGTGAAGGATAACTGTATATACTAACAGTGTAATTGCAGTCAAACTGGAGTCTGTTCATCCAATATACGAAGTCAGGAGGAGTCTAAAATATAAAAAAAAAAAACAAGATAAAGTGATATACTTATCATTTGTTGTGATCCTGTTTCTGTTGAGGTTATCTTGGATGAAATGAACGTTAAACGAATGACTTTGATGGTAATGACAATAACTGGTCTGTATGTGACCAAGGGGATTGCTATGTTGGGTGTCTTCGGCATGGTACTTCTGTGAGGTAGCGTTATAAAGACGGCGTAAGATCCACGATATCGCAAAAACGCAATAAAACCAACATACCATGCCTCCAGCACACACACAAGCACACATGCATTGCACACATGGAGACACGTCCTTAATTGACTTTAGCTGTTGATAGGACATTAAATCCTTTCAACCACAATCAAAGCCACAGTCCGAACAAGGATATTGTCAACCAGTAACTTATAGTTTTCATCTCATAACAATTTATCTTGATCTTTGTCATTTTCTTTTTACATTAAATATGTTCCTAAATCATTTACAGCCATAAATATGATAACGTCATTTCCATTTTTGAAAAAACCCACCTACTTTCAAAATAACAAAAGTCATTGCTTCAGTCCTGTATGACGTATATGTATGGTAGTGTAAGGACTGGACAAGTAAAACATTCAGCTAGAATAAGCATTTTCGTGACTAGGATGTTCAGGATTGATCAAGTGATCTTCTTATCGCCACACATTTTATTAATAATTCGTGAAGTTTTTAATACTCATCAAAACATTTTGTAGAGTTAGTTTGCACATGTTGCTTTAATATGCCAGAAGTACATGTTTTTAATCGTACACTATAATAATAATTCAAAAACAAAAAACATATACTGTTTCTTTAAAAAAATGCGCTCATATTGATAGTTGAGAAGTCTTTATATTTGAATCAAACACAGAATGTAGGACAATAAAAACCAAAAATACAACAGTGGCATGCAGTGCGTTTGGAGCAGAACCGGGAAAAAAAGAATTTGACAGTTATTTAAGGTAAGAAAGATACCATATCATGAACAAAAAGGTGGCAAAAGTAGGTATTGCGAAAATCAGGGTGACTAGACCTTAGCTGATAATAGGACGCACTATCGAAAATGAAATAAAGGAAAGAGAAAATACGCCTCGTGCACAATAGAAAGAAAAGCAAATAATAGAGAAGTGTGGAGGAAACTTGTCCATGCCCTATATGCCATCTGGCATAGAAAGGACTTACTAAGTAAGATAATAGGAAGCTGAAACCAATTGACCGAAACGTTCATACCCGTATATTATTTTTGAAACAATATCGGTAAGCATGTGTTGCATTCTTGAAATACTTTTGGGACAATTCGGCAATCAGTTTTAAGTATTCACAAAGCTACTAACCTTTACCGTTAAACTGATGGCTAAGCAGCTTAGATACAAGGGGGAACGGTAATGTTTTATTATTAATAATTATTGTTAATAAATCATTGTAATCTCCTTAAATAAATCCAGTCGATTTCCCTGGACAATTCATGGAGTAGAAATATTAATAAGAAATAATGACAATAAAATAGTAATTCAAAATAATCTCTATGGTATCTCAGGGGTAACTACTTTCATAAATAGTCGATGTAACAACAGCAAAAACCTTAATCCTACAACCATTACTTTGAACATCCAAAAACTAAATTACTGCCATTTTAATTATTGCATTTTACTGATCTTTGTCATGCTAAACGTCGCAATTAATCTCTGCAGTGTGAATAATGCGTAGAGTTTTTAATGAGTTGCATAGCGCAAAGGGTTTGCATAGTGACTTTTAAAGCGTCTAAATAATGCCGACAATTTGAACAGCACAGAAGCGGGTAAAGTCATACCTGCAAAATCCTGTTGAAAATCCCTATATATTGTAAAGAGGAAAACCACAAACAAGCGAGTTAAATGTTCATACAGGGAATATCCTTTACCTTAGACTCTATTGTTTCTGTTAGCGTAATAAATCTCACAAAGGTTCTAGGAAGCATTTGGTTAAACGTTTTTGAAGTATTTCACTGTAAATATGAAGAATGCCTTGGTTTGTATGCACTGTATGTCCTATAACAGTCATTGTCACTTAAGGACGAGACACCAGAATAAAATACATCGACCTGCGTCCATAACCTGTTGTCTGTTCTACGTAGGCATCGAACCCGTTACCCAGTGGTGGTGGGCTAGTGATCGTGGATGGTCAGACGCCTTAATTGTTTTTGTTTTTGAATTGTTTAACGGCCTATCAAAAACATAAGTAAGTCCATTAAAAAGAACCCCGCAATAAAAGACATTCACAAAAAATTAATACACAAACATATCATTGCTCTTGACTGGCCGCATTTTATTTTAAATACATAAGTTTATTTTTTTAAGTTGGTTTAGCGTCCCATTATCAGCAGAAATCAGTTAACAACGTTCCCTCATGAGTTTAATGAGAAAAGTGTGTAGGAGTTTTATGTCTGTGTAGTTGTGTCCTTATTATAGCGCGGACGTGATGCCGACTATAGGAAGGCATTATCATTTTATGGAAAACTGAATATTTTTTGTTTAAAAAGAACAGTAAAATTAATCATCTTTGAACTGAAGCAATAAAGCAAGATATGTTACAACACTAACAACAGACCACACGAAGATATTTAGCAAGAGAGTTAAAGGTCGTCCGATTCAAAATACATGTAGTTGCAAGCATTACTTACTTCTCTTCTAGATAAAAACACTGGACCCGAAGTGCGTATATCGTCTATACGTACAGTGATAGACTGGAAATAAGATATAGGTGAAAGCTATATAAGGTTGCCACTTCGTTTGCGCGTGTAGATATTGAATGGTATTATCTGTGTCATGTCGGTATGACTTGCTATGTGTGGTAAATGTTATGTTATCCACTGCAAGTCATACCTTGAAAACATTGACTAAATGATATTCATTTCTGACATCTAGATTGTATAGATCCTAAAACAAACACTTACACGTTATCGCACCTTGAAATTTAATTATAGATTCAGAAAACCAAAAATTAGTTACACTGCATCGTTCAGCCGCTTCGTCCTTCTAAGACTCATCGGTGATGCTAGGGGTCAAAAGGTTGGAATCCAGTATGTCTAAATTACTGGTGAAACATAAGTGAAGGTACTAAAAACGCCTGAATTTATGGATTTCATATATTTAGGGTACTGGTTGATTTCAAACTAGTTAGTAAAGTGTGTTTCTACCACAATACGCTGTGTTATTCCACTCTCAGATCATTGTATCAAGATTTGTTCGCTAGTTTCAGGCAAAATTGCTACCGACGCTCAGTATCGTTTCAAAAGTCTTTTGTAACTTTTGAAAATTAACTAACTCGAGTGAAATAAATACCATATTCAACAACCACTCGTTGTGTAACCTCTATATATTAAGAACCATACCTTTATATTTAACTATATTTACGAGACAAATCGGAATAATATTTAGCAAATTGTCAAATAAGAAGTCAATCAAATGGGAATCAGAATGCCAAGCGTCAATATTAAAGCCAAATATGGCGTCAGAACAAATTTTCGTGACAATTTGTAGATTCATAATACTATAAACGTTGTTCTATTTTGTATGATCAAACAGTGAATGTTTATATACCCGTATCCATTTTGTAATATTTGTTTGAGATTAGTTGTCATCCGGTAAAACAAAGTTACCTTTACCTTTCAAAACATTAATCTGTGATCCTCAATGCACTTTTCATTTTCCCCCGAATCCCATTATTTTGAGCGTAACCAATTTTAGTTTTAAACAAAGATAGTGTACTTTTAAAAGGTTTTCCATTTTGCACAACAGGATTAACGATGATATGGATTGAATTATAGTCGGAGTTGTTCTGAGTATATTGTTATAAAACCAAAAATATTTCAAAGGCTGGTTGAAGATAAATGACTTCATTTCGTTTATATCTAAAATTAACATTGTACCGTTTCATGTACTGCAGGGGACAAGACGGCAAATTTGGTAATTAATCTACTGAAGTTAGTAAAGCATTTTTAACGAATTGTATACTAAACTCAAAACTTCTGCCAATTTTTTGTCAAAAATAATTTCGAGCGGAGATAAACTTATTTTACATGGCTTGGTTTAATTATTGATTTTACGTGTGAATTTGTTTGGTGACAAATTCAGTCAACTTAGTGTTGCGTCAACCCTTGCAGGTCAGGGGTTGCGAAAAGAATTCACCTGCTGTACAAAAAGGTCTACCCATTATTTGTCCCAATGCCAACCACGCTTAATACACAGAAGTCTGCGTTTGCAGTGGAGTCTACAATTTTTGTAACTGGTGATTATGCATTAGTATACAGTTTATCTATTTTTCCGGAAACTGCATAGGTTCGGTGATAATTCATGAACATAGAATGGTTTTCAACTAAGGATGTTTGATAATATTTTGTAACACATTACCTTCATTAACCTGATTATGTGCAATATCTAAAATGTTTGAAAATCTAATAAAATACATTTTATGGACCTTTATTCATATCAGGCACACCATAATATTTGTGTCGAATCTGTCTAAAATCTATATTTAACAATTTAACAATTATCAGTTTTGATCTATGTATTGGCTAGATATGTTTTTCCGATAAGGCAATTCGAAATGATTAAAAATGTACAGAGTTTAGGAGGTTACATGTATATCTCCCAACTAAAACAAAGTAACGAAATACATATACCTTCATTTCTTCTTCAACATAATTCCTCCCCTTATTCTGCTTGCAAGTAGGTAGCCAATATATTCTGTAGAAGCAGGACTTGTCTGTTTGGAAAACAAACAACAAACATAATATTAATAAGACACTAGCTGTATAAAAACAAAGATATGTTTGTGTTGATATTGTTTAAACATAACACAAGACAATGTACGGACACTCGCAAAAATAGGAGACCATTCCAGGCATAGTATATTTGTCATCTACGTTTTTTTATTTACATTCCATATTTTCTGTATAACCCGATGCTTGTTTTAAAACAAAATTCTGGCGTGTACTGGACATCTTTTTTAAAAGTTTGATGAGTCCCAATACTAAAAATGCCGTCATCATGGTCAAGCTCAGATTTTGTGCTCAAGCCCAATTTCTTCTTTCATAAATAATCTGAAGAAAATGTCGAGAGGCTTTGGGCCGAATACCATAACTTGTCTTTTTGACCATGTGACATGATTTTAAGCAAGTTAGAAAAAGTAGGTTTGAGCACAAAAATCATGTTGGGGAAAGAAAACAGTTTCATGAATACGGGTCAAGGATCACGGGTCAATTACTGATAATGTTAATTATTAATATTTTATATTAATTCTATATTAAATAATTTGCTTTCCCTACAGGTGCATGATGTTTTCTGCTGAGCTATGTTCCCGGAGGATGGTAACACAAAACAAAACAAAACTCCAACTCTTGCTATGGTCAAATCAGGACTGTGACCTAGAAAATTGAGCCACCAAAGGTTACTACACTTGAATAGCCATTAGTTGCGTCTTCCGATTTTGTAGTGGATAATGTCGCTGGTAAATTAATTGAAACAACTCCCTACGATATGTGAACATCACTTGTTTATGCGTTTAGAGCCAAACAACATTGAAATTAAGACGTTGGAGTAGTACATCATACTACAAATACAATGTAGAAGTGTTACAAAGATGCAAAAAATAGCAATACCAAACGATTTGCTGTAAAATATGGCATCGTATTTTCGTACAGATTAAATGATTTTAAATATTAATTCATAAATAGTTCAAACTTTTCATTGTTGTTTCTTTTCGCGCGTTTATTAGAAATCGCCGAATTCGTTCATTAAATGTTTTATAGTAAATGGTTGATCACTAGCAAAGCATTTTGCACAATGTCACCATCAGTTACATGTGTATGTAGGTACATGCATGGCCTATGTGTAGTCTGAGAAGACAACTTTATTTCTGCTATCTACTCTCCTTGTTGCGCATGAACCCATATTAAGTAGAAGTGAAAATGACGTTTTATCTGTTTCCTCGGACAATCATGTTGAAAATTGGATTTAATTAGTTTACTGTGGAAGGTTGGTCAACGGCCTTTCAACAGAAGAGTTATATCAGGTCTGACAGTAGTGTATAACTATCCTATATCATTGTAACAAGGGTTTTTAAATTCAGAATTTAGGTTTTCGAAAAATTTCATGTAGATAATTACCTTCAGCAGCATCCCAGCTAATTTTCGCACTGACTGCCTGTTTATAGTAAGTCTGCATTTCAATTCCTACATTTGCTACATGGTTAGGCACATAGTGTTCTGGAAATGTAAAAATGATCATGGGAAACTACGAATGTTTAGGTTGTATTAATATTGCTTTTTCAAATCCCCTACATCTAATTCACCTTTTGCAGGCACATTAGTTCTAAGTAAATCACTTAATCTTAGACAGTGAACATTTTATTTTTTTAAGAATGTATGTTTTTTCTTATTATCCGACTGCAGATGTGGTTAAAGAGGATACCTCAGATGAATTTAGCTATACAAAATAAAATAAATCGAAATCAAGCACTTTATGTCTAAGATATTTGGATGTATTGTATTGAAGGTATGTATCCTGTTTAACCTTCACCCCTTCTGGGGGTCTCTTATTATTAGCAATAACTTGGTACGATGCGTTTACAGATAATTGTCTTAACACAGATTAACAGTTTGACGAATATTGCCAACATGATGGAAAACATTTCCGATGGGTCACATACAGAGATACGACATACATACTAACCAGGAAGTGTTGTTATAAACTCCGTCATCTTTGTATCATCAACCAACCCTTTCTCTGATACGGCAGTCACTTTAAATCGGTAGGTTGTATTCAAAGTTAAGTTATGTATTGGCAGAAACGATGAGTCCGTCTAAAAGCAAAAAATGCTCAAATAATGTATTATCACGTAAAGTGTTGCTTGTCAAATAGTGATCAAGATATTTTGTATGAAGTTCAAATGAACAATGAAATATGAATGTTGTTAAACAATATGATTATAGGATATTTTGTGCATGCAGACAAGGTTTAATAAAGCATGAAACTGCTTTTAGCTGGAATTCATAGGCAACTTAATTTGCATTTGTCAAGTTAATAACCAAATTGCCTATGAATGCCAAATAAAGGCAGTTAAATAGTTACAGTAAAGCTTATTTCGGATCTCTTTATTTTCATAGAAAAGTCAATTACATTAATTGATATTTAGCATTCAAGTAAAATATCTATTTTTGTCGTATATGCTTGTTCAATGAAAAGAATAGACATCTGTTCAGGGAGGATCAGTGGTATTCAACATAAAAATAATGACGTCATAATAATGATCACATTCACAATTGACTCATGACATTCACAGCCATATGATAGGATTAGGGTTATAAAGGGTAATGTAATGGCAATGCAAAACTACGATAAATATCAAAATAAGTCTATACTATTCATATAGATTTGTAACCTTTCCTATTGAAGCCCACTCGGAATCTTTCGAGACATCTGTGAACCGCTGCAGGGATATGACGAACTGCATTTGTGGTAATTCTTTCAGGTCCTTTCTGTGTATGTCCCACCTCAAATACACAGTTGAAACATGCGTTTTTCCTGGTTTATTGCTGTCATCTGTGTACATACAGACGATTGTGGGGTCAAAAGTCGACACTGCCGATGTTTCGTCTGTAACATGTTTCATATAGTAGTAATGTGTCATTTGCTGTCACAAACGATGTCTATGGGGACATATATGTGTATTTATTTGTTTGAAAATGACATGGCATCAAGAACAACAGCACATTAAAAAAAAACGTAGTGTACAAATTGCTATTCTCTAGTACAGTTTTTACCTGATTATATCCCTGCATAAGTATAAATTGTTTTTGATGTTCCAAAAAACCCAAACTGTTACCATTCATAGAGTGTGTTGACACGATCTGCCATTATGCTATTGATTTTTTCTTCGTCGCAATAGAGAGTCAGTGTGAATCAAATTACTTCCTCACGTTTTGATGTCTAGACTTTGGATCTAAATACACGAACCACATGATTTTCGAAATTATTTATCTTTTACATTTGAAACTGAGAAACCTCTATGAAGACGTAAACAAAATTTAATATTTATTTTTAAACTTTTACTTTAGTAGGGTCATATTATTAATGTTTTATTTTGTATTCAGATAGGTCAGCTTTTCTACAATAAACCTTAATAATATTTGGGTATTCAGTCAATACCATATAGGGTAAAGAAAGCGGAAAAAACCTTGAATAACTCTCCCACATATTTCATATCTTTAACGGTAATAATAATACTAATATACAGCATTTGATAAAGCGCCCTATCTAGCTAGCATAAGCCCCTCTAAAGCGTTTTACAGTACATAGACATACAATTTCATACAGTCAATACAATTAGCATATACATTTATCAATACAATTTAAAGTCATATGAAATCGGTGAAAAGGGAGACACCACCGAAAAAAACGGGAAAAAAGGAAGAAAAGAGGAGACAACGGACCGATGTGTTGCAATGGCGCAGCCAAAATGATGCCAAATTCATAATCATTGCTAATTTGCACCTTACGATGATATGACTAATGTATATTGCTGCATTTTAGCGACATGCTAATCATTCGCAAATATCATTCGATCACAAAATAAATATAAATCTCTTAAAAATGTCACCACATTCATTAAAATATGACGCATGAACTACGGACAAACCGAGCAAAAACATCGATATACAAAGAGCGAACGGTTGACCTTTATGTGTTAATGAATTTGGTTATGAAACTGTGCAAGATCCACGACAAACGCGGTGCGACTCCCTTGAATTTGCTAACTGCATCCTGTTGCGTACGAAATACAGCGCTTAGGGAACAAGGCCGTGATGTCGAAAATAAGAAACGCTCTTAAAATCATAACTCGTTTACCATGTCTATTCCTCCAGATTTCAATACGTGTCATTTGATGGCTTTATATAAATATCTGTTATGATTAGGCATTGAAGATGTTGAATAATGGCTAAATAAACACCCCAAGATGGATGGGGGATTTATTTTAAAAGCTGTATGAAATTTAACTCCAAAAAACGTTGTCTGAATAATTGAGTCACAAGATTTGAAATTTCCTTCTGAATGTAGCATTTTTTATGATCTATTTAAACTTGTAAACTGAAAAAAACCTGATATATATGCAAATTTTACTTATTCAGATTATTACCTTAATTTCTTGCTTTAGCCAATTAAAACCCCCAAAATCACCACAATTATTATTAGTAAAATATTAAAAAAGTAACCACATTAAATCATATCCAAGATGGCGTAAGGAAAAAAGAGGACTTTATCACATGTGAATATTCATATTTTAAAATGTCAGAATGACACTGATATAACAAACTGAACTCCCCATCAATAAGAGATAGTTTCAATCACTAAAATTAATGTGTGCTATGGATAAATCATGTTATTCAGCTGGTAATGGCACTATAAATATGGGTGGTACGGATTGCAAACCAGGTCATTTTAGCTAGGCCATTTGTAATTGATGATTCGATGCATATATTACACGTCGTGAAGTATACTAATCATGAAAAACTGCTTTAATAGCTAGCGAGTGTCATTTTTTACGAACAAAAAATACGGAAAAGTTCCTTTTTTTTTTATTTGACATGAGTATTATCAGTTAAAATATCGTATATGATGGTCTATAAAAAGTTTTGGTCAAACAAAATTAATATTTTTTGAGCCAAGCCATGCATCCAACGTCACCTCTCTTCAGTACTTATCTTTACCGAAACTACTTTTAATTGATATATATTCTTTTGTAAGATTTGAGCGATAGTCTGCTTGACAATGATTAATATTGTGCTACACAAGATATTCGCATCATTATGAAGTCGATATGTGCAGTTTTCAATATCCAATTTTATTTTTTATGCGCGATATCGACGTACTATTGACAAACCACGCACGCATCAGAAACTTTCTTGCCATACATACAGTTTCAATAATCCAATGCATACAATTACCAGTTAAACATGAATATTCACGAATGATAACACTCGCTATGCCTAAAGCCATATTTGATGCGTGAATACAGTAATCAATTTATCCCAAGTAAACTTAGCTTCTAGATAAATTGTTATTGAAAATAAATAAGGTATATTATAAACGGGAACTCTTTTACTTTACCTTTTACAATTCCAGTATCAGCACGCAGCCACTCTATTTGAACAAATTCACAAATGAGTTGACAAACGTCAAGAAGAAGCGAAGATTTCTGAAAAGAAAAAAAAAGTTGTCTGACGGGAGCATATAATTAAGGGGCAATAAACCTGGCCATAGACATAAACATGCTGAAATATTGACCAGCTTGCCCTTTGGGCAAAAAACAGGAAGGTTATAAATAAATATTTAACATGTTATATATAGCATGTTTAACATGCTTAAGTATTGATCAGCTAACCTTTAAAACAAAAGTTTTATACCAAACCACAAGCCATTCCATGAGACTGACAAGTTTTAAGGTAAGTTATGTGGAGGCTTCCTCTCTTAAATACTATGCTAAATGCACTCAGTTCAGTTTTCCACCTTGTGACATTATACTGACATGGTTCATCACTTGTTGCAGTTTTCCTTAAGTCTGAACGTTTATCAGGAAAAGATATCTACCATTTCTAAGAACTTTGGTAATCGCAACAGCTGATTAACCCGCTGTTAATATTGTAAGCTTTCGGCATGGTATTTCAGCGAGGAAGCACTCTTAATCCGGCAACATATCCGCCGTATCGCAAATGTGCTAACATAACTTGCATCCAGGTCACATACACACATACATTACACACACGGAGACACAAGGAGCCCAACAATAATACATACTTGTTTTAATGATATACGTTAATATTATAACTTACGCAAACATCATAGCATGTGGTGTTTCGTTGTCTTTTAAGCGTATCTTCACAAGTCTTTGTACACTGAAATATATATAAAAATAATATAGCATGGCCAATATTTACCTTCTCCGGCAGCAGAAGCATACCGAAATGCTCATGGCATCCATTGCAACTCCCTAACGACAGAAAAGTTTGACAACAGGTGTTTCAATTGTTATGGTAGAAATATGAACGCAGAATACACATGAGATTTCACCTATTCTGGAACTTTAAAGTTTGGTAATATACATTGTATCCTAAATTTTGATTTTCAATACACCATACAGTTGTTCTGGACTTCCGGGACTTATCTGTGAAATAAGGGACTAAAAAGGTGACAATATGCATTGATCTGAACTACTGATGAAACAGTATGTCAAAAATGAATTTCACTGCACCATACAGTTGTTTCGTCCTCCTAAAACTGATCGGTGATGAAAGGGGCCAAAAAGGTGAATATTTTAAATGGGCTTAACTACCGTTTGAAACGTTATTCCACAACTCGTGACAGTAGGTCTTTTTATATTTATTCAATTCTATTAAACCTCATGTCCTTTTGAAATTTGAAAATAATGCAACTTGAGTTAGATAAATATGATAACCAACGGTCATTCGTTGTGGAATACTTATTTATAAATGTAAGAATTCTTTACCATAATATGTATACCCATTCATTCTCATAGAGTAATACTTAACGTTGAATGTTTGGCCAAAGAGTACCTTTAAATGTAATGAAATTGGCAGATAACCTACGCCGATGAGTTACTGTAGATGAAAGTATATTCTTGCAGGGCGTGCCACCAGTTTACGTGATAAAGTACATGTAGGAGGGATAGCCTATGTGAACCAAACATTCTAGGAGAGTAAGCCTCCGGGTGTATTGGGTTCGGCTTTATCAGGACGCCGAAATAAAATGAAATACCCCCCACGCACAGTTTTTGTGGGCTATTTATGTATCTTATTGTAGCTATGTCCGCAATTG